ATTCTTATGTAGAACATTATGATCCCTTAGCACTTTTATTATTCATTTTTTATGTATGAGTATCTTACCTGAATATGTGTATATGCACTATTTGTGTGTCTGGTGCCAGCAGAGGTCAGAAGAGGGCATCAGATCTCCTGAACTGGAGTTATAGATGGTTGTGAGCTGCCATGTGAGTGCTGGGAACCAAACCCGGGTCCTCTGCAAGAGCAACAAGTGCTCCTAAGCACTGAACCGTCTCTCCAGCTCATAACACACAATTAGAGCACCAGTCAAATACATAGAGATTCATTCACATGGACTGCCAAAGCAGGAAACAATTCTACCAAGGCAAATAAAATAAAAACTCTGGCTTAATCCAGAAAGAATACTAGAAGTATATATAGTGCTCTTCAGATTTTTTTGGCCTAAAAAGAGACCAGACATGACTGAAAAATAATAGTCTATACTAAAGCACATTTTTACTTAAACATCAGAACAAAGGGGCTGGAGAGGAATCGTACACGTAAAAATTGAGAGTCTAAATTAAAAATATCAGAACAAAAATGGAACTTTTGAGTTAAAGAATATGAAATCAGCCGGGCGTTGGTGGCGCACGCCTTTAATCCCAGCACTCGGGAGGCAGAGGCAGGCGGATCTCTGTGAGTTCGAGACCAGCCTGGACTACCAAGTGAGTTCCAGGACAGCCTCCAAAGCCACAGAGAAACCCTGTCTTGAAAAACCAAAAAAAAAAAAAAAAAAAAAAAAAAAAAGAATATGAAATCAAATGCCAGGAATGTACATAAAAGGTCTAGATGATTTTCCTCACAACAAGAAAATGTTCTTGAGATACATCTGTAACTTTAAATTCTAAGTTAATGCCATAGCTTTTTTTTTTTTTCCTGAGACAGGGTTTCTCTGTATTGTTTTGGAGGCTGTCCTGGAACTAGCTCTGTAGACAAGGCTGGCCTTGAACTCACAGAGATCCGCCTGCCTCTGCCTCCCAAGTGCTGGGATTAAAGGCGTGGGCCACCAACGCCCAGTAATACCATAGCTCTTGATGTTTTCATTTACTCATCAAAGCCCAATCCCAGCACAGGTCTAGTAGTGAAGGACTATAATTTCAGTCATTTGGAAGACTGAGGCAGGAAGATCACAAGTTCAAGGTCTGCCTGGGTAAGTTCAAAGCACCAGCTTTGGCAATTTAAAGAGACCCTGTCCAGGGAAGGGGGAAATCTGTAACTCACTAGATACTCACTAGCATACATAATGCCCTACGTTTGATTCCTAGGATCACAAAATAAAGCAGCAACAACACAAAATCACTGAATCTTAAAACTGAAGGTGTCGGGAGCCAGGCCAATCAACACTTTCCCTGAGACCCGATGTATGGAAGAGGACCTTAGTTTAAAACCAGGAATATGCTTAGCAGAGCCAGTAATGGCTCAGGGCCAAAGCCTTGGAGAGCTGTTGCTTTTTTTTTTTGTTTTTTTTTTTTTTTTTTTTTTGTTTTTTCGAGACAGGGTTTCTCTGTGGCATTGGAGGCTGTCCTGGAACTAGCTCTTGTAGACCAGGCTGGCCTCGAACTCACAGAGATCCGCCTGCCTCTGCCTCCCAAATGCAGGGATTAAAGGTGTGCGCCACCAACGCCCGGCTGAGCTGTTGCTTTGTATCCTGACAACGAACTCTTCTCCCCTGTAAGGTTATGGTTATCAGACCCAAGGCTGCTGTGTGCTCGTCTGGGATGCACTTGGGTTCCCTTTGTGCAACACTGCTTGATTAACTTCCTGATCACTTGGAGCTACTGTAAGATAGTTTTCTGCTGACTCTGGCCCACTTCCCTGCAAACCGTGTAAAAGATGCTATCCTTAATAATATTGCTTGGTGTGGCTCAAGATACAGTATGTGTAAGACCTGATCCAAACTTCCCTACTTCATTTTCTGAATCCCTGGTCCTTTGCTGGTACAGGTCAAAAGGGGAACAACAACTCTGAATCTTGGGCTGTATGAGGAAAATGATCATTTTAATAATCCTTGTGTCTTTTTAGGAGGCTTTGTTTTTTTTAATAGATTTAGGAGATTCTCATGTTATCCTAGAGAAGGCATATTCTGCCCATAAAGTTGCTATTTTCTTCCTCACATTAGGCAACTATTAGATTCATTTCCTTTGTTTGTTTGTTTGTTTTTTGAGACAAGGTTTCTCTGTGGCTTTGGAGGCTGTCCTGGAACTAGCTGTTGTAGACCGGGCTGATCTCAAACTCACAGACATCTGCCTGCCTCTGCCTCCTGAGTGCTGGGATTAAAGGCGTATACCACCACTGCCCAGCTCATTTCCTAACTTTTATTTTATTTTATTTTTTGGTTTTTAGAGACAGGGTTTCTCTGTGGCTTCAGAGGCTGTCCTGGAACTAGCTCTTATAGACCAGGCTGGTCTTGAACTCACAGAGATCCACCTGCCTCTGTCTCCTGAGTGCTGGGGTTAAAGGCGTGTGCCACCACTGCCCGACTCATTTCTTAATTTTTAAAAATTATATTTATCGAAGGATGGCTTCAAGCTTCTAGATCTCATTTCCTCAATTACATTCATCTGTTTATTTGGGGGGGGACTGCATATATATCGTGGGAGTCAGTCTCTCTTTATCCCATGAGAGTCTTGGGGATCCAACTCATGTAATCAGGCTTCCTGGAAAATCCCTTACCTGCTAGGCCATTTTGCTCTTTTTTTTTTTTTTTTTTTTTTTTGGTTTTTCAAGACAGGATTTCTCTGTATTGTTTTGGAATCTGTCCTGGAACTCACTCAGTAGACCAGGCTTGGTCTCGAACTCACAGAGATCTGCCGGCCTCTGCCTCCCGAGTGCTGGGATTAAAGGCGTATGCCGCCACCACCGCCCGGGCTATTTTTTTGTTTTTACTTTGAGGCAGGGTTTCAGTATGTAGCCTGGCTGGCCTGGAACTCACTGTGTAGACCAGGTGAAAGTCACAGAAATCCACCTGCCTTGTTAGGTGTTGGAATTAAAGGCATGTGCCATCATGCCTGGCATTTAAAATTTTATTTTAAATTATTTTTATGTGTCTCTGTGGGTATGTATGTGGCTATTCACATCTGAGGAAGCCAGAGGTGTGGGATCTCCCTGGGGCTGGATTTATAGGCACTTGTCAGATGCCCACTGTGGGTGCTAAAACTCAGAGTCCTCTGCAAGAGCAATTCTCAACACTGAGCTATCTGTCCAGCTTCTAGGTCGATTTTCTTGGGGGGGGGTCTGTTTTTTTTCGAGACAGGGTTTCTCTGTTTAACAGTCTTGGCTGTGCTAGAACTAGCTCTGTAGACCATGCTGGCCTCAAACTCACAGAGATCCACCTGCCTCTGCTTCCCAAGTGCTAGGATTACAGGCATAGGCTACCACCACTTGGCAGGTCATATTTTTTAACTGCGTATTTATTCAGATGTTGAAATGCCAGCTTTTGCAATCTTTAAAAAACACTCATATTGCTTCTGACTAGCTTGTTTTTTTTTCTGAGTTAGTGATTTTTAAAAATTTTTTTTATTTAAATCTGACTAGCTTGTTAAACAAATAAGTAGCACCTTGGGGTCACACAAAGTGTCATTATTGCCCAAGAAAGGACGCATGGTAGAAAAACATGGATAAGGTAAAGTTTAAGAAGCTTAAGTGAAAATCCTGGGGAAGTGAAATACAGGTGTCTGCCTTGCCTGCAATTGATAGGTGGGTTGTATGATAGGAAAGCATCAGGGGCAGTTTTGGCTTTCAGTTGCAGAATGCCAAAGATTTCAACTCTGGTCCAATACCTACAACAGAATAGTAAGGGACAAACAAGAGAAAGCTGGATCCTCATGGTGGTCATACTGAGCCGATAGTAGGAATCCTCAGGTTTCCAGCTGGGCCCCAATCTACTGTAGGAAGTCAGCAGAGGTGGAGTGGACCCAGGACTCCAGATCACAGTCAAAGTCCTTGAAGGGCACGGATTCCGGTGGACTGGTACCTTGTGTGTCCATGACAAGGTTCACTGGCTGCTTCTTCAGGAGCTCAGGGTCAAAGGGCACACCCCAAAAGAAAGGGTGTACCTGGAAATGATGCAGATAACGTGGACGGTGCAGAGGGTTCTGGCACAAGAGCTGAAGGAAAACAGAGTGAGACTGGGGTAAGGAGGAGGCTAAACAGAAGCTGCAAGGGAGGCAGGAAAATCCTGAAACAGGAGATTTGAGAAAGAGAAACACGGTGACCGGAAGGAGTGGGAGGAACGGTGAGGATAAAGGAGATGGACTTGGATTTGCAGATGATAAGGTAGCACTGGCCCATGCTCTTCAAAAGGACCTGTCTGTTCTGGGCGAGGAAAGGATTTAGGGTGCAGGAACTCATGAATGAGATCTGCCGTGCCAGTTACAGGGGAAATGGGAGAGAGAACAGAGCTGGGAAATGTCCCTTCATTGAAAAGACAATGACAAGCTTGGGAGTCAGAAAGGAAAGTAGTGTGCACCCTTACCTCATGAAGCAGGAGTGAGAGCTCCTGAGTGACAGAAGCTGGCATCTCGGATTCACAGTGGGTCACACTTGCCAACATGGTCACATGATCCCTTTCTGCAGCCACTGGGAACTGAGTTCAAGAGGTAGGGGTGGGAAGAAGGCGGGGCTTCCTAAGGTCTTTTCCCCACAGAGCAAAGCTCTCTCCTCCGCTCAGCACCACTGCCATCCTCTCACCTTCCCAGTTGTGAGAGAGAAGAGCAGCACTCCCAGGGACCACCAGTCAGCAGTGTGGTTGTAAGGCCCGCCACTCAGGACCTCTGGGGCTGCGGGATGACAGGCGCTTGTCACTCTCTTCTCTAAACCGTCCTCCCCACCAGAACTTTAGCTTCTCTCTCACCCATGTATTGAAGAGTGCCACAGATAGTATAGGCTCGTGCCCCCTGGGATAGGCGTCGAGACAGACCAAAGTCTGTCAGTTTCAGGTGGCCTATGGAATAAGGAGACAGGTTTCGACCTATGTCTTTTTTTTTTTTTTTACAGAGATACCACTTATCCTGAGGCTGGAGAAGACATACCTCGCTCATCCAGGAGGATATTCTCCATCTGAAATCATGGGTGAGAGGACATCATCTCACTCTTTCCATTGATTCTGATTTGGTTTTTCCATTGTTATTTTTTTAATATAGGGTCTCAGTATGTACCCCGGGCTAGCTGGGAATTTGGTATATATATCAGACTAGCTTCAAAACTTGCAGTATTCCTCCTGTCCCCCACCCCCAACAGTGCTGGGGTACAGGCAAGTATGATCACACCTGGCTTTCTTTCATGTAAAGTTGCTAGTTGGAGAAGGTAAGTCCACTCAGCATTCAAATCTATTCTTGGAGGACCCATACCTAAATCCTTTGCATCCATAGGAACCCAGATAAATTGTCTCTGCTCCCCACTGCTTCCTCAAACATGTTGGAACTTCTTGAGGTTCTTCCTCAGACTAAGAAAAAAGACTTAACTCTACCTTTACATCCCGATGGATGATACCCAAGTCATGGAGATAGCCTGTGGAGAACAGTGAGCATGGGTGTGTGTAAGGTCTTGTCTATTCCAGTTTCTGTAGCTTCTTTCCCATGCCTACCCTGACTTCCAGAACTAAATATCAATTGTTTTTTCCTCCCCACCAACTTAATTCTTCCCTTTCTATTTCCTTTACCACTTTTCACTTACACAGCACAAGGACCAGTTCAGCTGCAAAGAGACGGATGGAAGCCTCTGGAAAACCACCAACAGCAGACCACAGAGAGTAGAGATCCATGCTGCAGTAGCTACACACTGCGAAGCACCAGAAGTCTAGGCAATATCTGGGGTCTATAATGCCTGGGCTCAAGACATTATAGACCTCCTGCCCAAACTAATCCCACCAGCCTTTTCCCTCTTCTTTTGGAGTACAGAAATGCTATGAGGAGTGGAACCAAGCAAAGGCAGAATAGTGTCAGGTTGGGAGAATGGTCTGTGGACCTTTGTGGATGAAGACAAAAGCCCAGTCCACTCACTAATGAAGAGGTGTCGCCTTCCCTGCCAGCTGTCCCCCAAGCTGTGTACAAAAGGATGGTTGATCTGTCGCTAGAGACAAAGAAAAAAGCAAATTAGGAGAGCAGGCTTATCGATGATAAAGACAGCCAAGAAAGCAGGTGTTGCCTTGTGTAGAAACCAACTGATCAGAGTTTATTTGGGACTACCTCCCTGGGAACTCTGGAGCCAGCACACTACTAAGGAGCATGCCAATGTAATGTTGGCAAGTTCCCTGGCAGAACCTGGAGTGTGTCTGCAGCTACTTTTCTCAGGATTTACTTTGGTGCTACATTACACCAAGATGGAAACATATGGGGAAGGTAGAGCCAAGAAAAGCAGGTAAGTTGGACAAAGGAAGGGACCTTCTCCACCAGCAATTTAGTTCTTCCAGCCATGCTTTCAGAATTCTGCATACCTGGATGCTAACCTCCTCTTTGCACTGCCTCAGGGTATCCCGCTGTAGGACTTTTACTTTGGGCACCACCTACAAATGGAGAGGCATGATAACTCATGGAAATGCTGTCCAATTTATTTCTCCTAATCTCTGAAATGAAGATTGTAAACAATAACTACTAAGTAAGTGGAATACCTAGCTAGACTCCTACCTTCACTGCAAATACAGCTTTTTGGGCACAATCTAGCACTTTCAGGACAGTTCCAAAAGAGCCTTTAGCCACAAGGCCTAAAATCTGAACAAAGAAATGGAGAAGACACCTGAGACGGGTTGTTTCTAGATTCCTCCCAAAGATACACTTCCCAGGGACTCCAGTGACCTACCTTCAGGTCCTGCTGCCCCCTAACAGGCCTCATGGGAAACTCTGGTAGAAAAAGGCTGATGAACTGAGGCACTGGCCACTCAGACAGAGGTTTCTCTAGTGGCAGTGGGGCTGGCTGGAGCGACTCCTGATGCCTCTGAAGCTCCCATAGTTCTTCCAGACCTGACCTGATGGTCCCCATACCACACCAGAGGCTCTTCCAGCCTTGGGCCCAGGGACCCTGGATGTTGCCACCCTGCCGAGAAGGGAGCCATTCTGAGTCTGCTCCATGAGGCACCGCAGGGTTGGGTTTTGTTTTTCGAGGCAGAATTTCTCTGTGTAGCCCTGGCTGTCCTGGAACTCACTCTACAGAGCAGGCTGGCCTGGAACTCAAGAGATCCTCCTGCCTCTGCCTGCACATCCACTGCTTGGCAGGCACTGCAGGGTCTACCAGTCTTAACAGGTGCTCCTTCCCAAGTCTTAACCTCTAAAGCAGTGGTTTTCAAGCTGAAGCCCTTTAATACAGTTCTTCATGTTATGGTGACCCCCCAACCATAAAATTATTTTCATTGCTATGTAATAACTGTAATTTTGCTGTTACAGACCACAATGTAAATATCTGATGTGACCCCACTGAAAGGGCTGTTTCACCCCAAAGTGGTCATGACCCATTAAGAACCAGTGCTCCAGAGAAAGGAAAATTCCCAGGCTTTGTGATGTTAACCTAGATTTCCTCAACATAATTCAAAATCTTGATGACATAAATTGTGTTTTCTTCATGACAAACCAGGAATACAACCTGTGCCTGAGTGGGGTTATTCACATAATAGCCTCCATGCCCACACCCCCACACTAGCTATCACTGACAGGCTAACCAGGCACTTTCTGGATTCCAGCCCATACCTCCTTCACTTCCCATCCACAGGCAGCCAGAGCCCCATACCCTACCTTTTGAGGGACAGATACCTGGGTGTGTTGCCCTTGCCGACAGCTCACTGCTCCCATTCCCAGCCTCTGCCTCCTCTCCTTCCGCTAAATCTGCTGTCCCGGTTACATAAGCAATCCCTATCTCTGATGCTGCATTACCCAGGAGCCCCGCCTCTTCCAGTGTACATAGACCCATCAGGGTTAGGAATACATCATACCAGGGCTGGGAAGTATCTAAGATAAAACTTAAGACATTTAGGAGGAGTTAAAAAATGGGTTGGGTTAGTGAGGGAAGGACACAGACAACTCGAATGCTTTTACTCAATACAACTGAAAAAAAAAAAAAGCCAGCATCAAATTTAAAATATTTTTTCTTTAAATCATTTTTTTTTCTCCATTCTTCAGGGTATACCCCAGGGGGAAAGGAAGGTACCCATGGCCAGCCCTGGCTCCTAATGCCATCCTCCCAAGTGAACACACAGATTGGGAAGCTGACCCCTCCCCCCAACACTAACACCTTTCATACAACAAGGCAGTGGAGTGAGGCACAGAGGATCAGACCCCTCCCCTCAGCTTACTGGCACAAAGGGAGAGCAATTACACTTAGAAATATATATATATGTTATATATATATATATATGTCTATTTATAAAAATTTATCATACTTGATCAAAACTATCCCCCCACCCTTTCTGTTGCCCCCAAGAGCAGGGTACTAGGCTTGGACACACTCCACAGGTCTGCTGGTTCTCTTGCCTTTCTGGCCCTGGGCCTAATAAGCATGAGGGAATTTAGCACTTGTGTCCACCATGCCCTGCAGGGACAGGCCAGCTGTTGAACGTGTTTCAGTTCCCTATGAGCTCCAAAGCCCCACAAACCCTCTGCATGAAGGGAAGCTCTGCCCACCCCCAAGTCCCCAGATCCTGAGCCAGAGCCAGATCCTAGACTGCCGTCCCGTGGGTCTCCAGATCACTTGCGCCTGCCGAAGATGGACTTCTTGCCTGGGTTCTTGTCACCCACACTTAAACCGATAAGGAGCCGCGCTTTCTCCTCTTCCTGCTGTTGCAAGTTCAGGTCTGATTTTGTTTCTAGCTTTCCCCGGACCTCAGACCCTGTTGCAGGTTTCAACCTTAGCTTTTCTTTGATTACCTGGCAAGTGGAAAGAAGTAAAAGGCAAAAATATTAGTGAAACAGGCTGAACAATTCAAACTGAACCAATTCAAGATTTATTAAACTTACATGCAGAGCACAATGGGGTGGTTCAAAGTATATAAATAATGGTCTCTGCTTTCAAGAAGCGTACAATCTAATCAGAATCCATAAAGGTGAGGTTGTAGCAGCCCTTAGTTCCCTCAAATTAATGATAGTTAACAGGAAACAAGGACAAAATCATTCTTGCCAGTCCCTGCTAACGAAACAGCCATAAGCCCTGGCGAGATACCTGGGCAACCAGAGCTTTTCGGCTGTCCCTTTTGACAGCCATGGCAAAGTCCAGCCATGTCCACGTGTTGTTGTGGTACTCCAGACAGGGTAGCACCAAGTTAAGGTCACCCCAGTCCACACTGTTCTTCTCACCCTGCAAAGAGGAGGAGGAGGGGGAAAATTACATCAGCTGCCGTTTTGAATCTAAGCCAGTACTTGGAGTAAATTCCTATGATAGCAACCTACAGACATAGATTGGATTTCCCCTACCTCAGTCATGGTAATAGTGCTGACCCCTGCAGGAAGCAGAAGGAACAGCAGGTTTGTCACCCATGGCCCACTTTCACAGGAAGTCTGGCTGTCACCCTCTATAATCTTTGGTTTCCTTCCTATTCTGTTCTAGAAAGTGCTGGGATGGGAAATACCTTATAACTGACACACAGTGGAACTTGTGGGATTTTTATGTATATGAAGGAGTTGTTCATGGCAGCTCGCTCTTTCATCTTGTCAATATCATCAACTGGGTGCTAGGAAAGACAAAGGAGTTAGAAGCCTTTAAAACCAGAAGAAACCAAATATCCTAAATAGTGCTCCATCTTCTCAACCCTGGAGTCAATCCACTCAAAAGAGAAATACCCAGCCAAGTCCAACAGAAATGATTAATAATAGCCGACTGTCCTGGAACTTGCTCTGTAGACCAGGCTGGCCTGAGTGCTGGGACTAAAGACATGCGCACTACCACCCAGCCAAAAAGTCTTTTAAACACATGTTTTTAGTTTTTTAGTTTCTTTTGCCTTTTTGAGACAGGACCTCATACGGTCCAGGCTGCCCTTACGACGATGTTCTGACTCCTGTCAAAGTTACAGAGTGCACTACCACTTTCGGTTTCTCTGATTCTTCAGTCTTTAGGGACATGTGCCATACCTCAGGTAATTTGCGAAATGATCTCCTGACCCCAGAACTCCGAGTCAAGCCTTGTGCTACACCCTTTCCAGGACCTAGTGGTACTGCATCATCTGTTGCTATTAGCTGCCGAGGCTTCACTACTGGTATCCCAGTTGTCACCAGTTTAGACTTATCCTCTTCATCACCAACTTCATCATCTTCCACATTTCGACCAGGAAAGAAAAAGCCCATCATCCTATGGAAGAACTGGTGTGACAGCTGAATGGTGAGAGGCACCACATTCACCTAGAGGAAAGACGCAGGGGGCGGTTAAGCTCAGGGGCTATCCTTGTCTAACAGTTTTTAGTGTGAAAAGCCCTTTGACCATGGGTTCCATTTACGAACCTCAAAGTGTTCCTTAACAGAGATACCCCCAACAGGTGGCCGGACTTTGCTGAAAAGGCGGAGGGCAAGCTGTCTCCCCGACTGGCAGGAACTCTGGGGCCGCAGAACCACCTATATGACAGAGCGAACAACTCCATTAAACATCCTTTCTAAAAATCAATCCACAAATCTCCTATAGAATGAGAACTGAAGCCAATGGTCTTGCTAAGCTGGGCAAGTTATACCATTTCAGATCACGTTGCTTTTTACATGAGTTGATATGAAAAGACCATCACAAATGCCCTTTGCTCTAAAGTATATATAAATGGGCTAGGAATGGGGAAATAGGACTTCCCATATAGATGTGCGGGTATAGATTAGTAGAGTGCTTGTCTAGAATGAACAAGACCCTGCCTAAATTCCATCCTCACAAAACAATAAAGAGAAAAAAAAAAAAAAAGACTTGCCTTATAGATAGCATTGGGGAGAAGGTTGTTCATAGTGAACCAGCCCAACTCCAGGAGATGTTCTGCTGTGTCATCAGACTTATTCACCTGTAAGACAAGATTTTGTCCTGTTCACTACAAGCTTTCCTTAGGAACTTGATAGAGAATTACTACATATCTAATCTATATATACACTAATATATATACTAACACTATATATACTAATCTAACCCTCTGATCTCATTTTTCTCTTTAAGTCAGGATCCCATAAAACAAACTGTACCTGTGGCTGGCTTTGAACTCCTGATCCACCTTACCTATACATCTGGAATGATGGGATTATATGAATGCACCATCACAGTCTATCAACATGTCTGTCAATCTCAGATACAATAGATGAACCCTCTAATCTAGTGTTTCTCTCGAGTAATACTAGCTAAACCACTAAATGCTAATACTTCCTAGTTATTGTGACATTTCTCATTTTCAAATATCCCTTGTAATAATATTATTGTAAGGTAGTTGCTGTCAGTATCAGAACATTCCAACTCAACTTGGAAAATTACTTCACTGGGCCTTAGTTCTAAGAATATCTTTCCTTTTTTGTTGTTTTGTTTTTTGAGACAGGGCTTCTCTGTATTGCTTTGGAGTCTGTCCTAGAACTTGCTCTGTAGACCAGGATGGCGTTGAACTCACAGAGATCCTCCTGCTTCTGCCTCCCTAGTGCTGGGATTAAAGGTATGCACCAACAATGCCTGCCTTTTATTTCATTTTTTTTTTTTTTTTGAGACAGGGTTACAGGGTTTCTCCGTGTAGCCCTGGATGCCCTGGGACTTGATTTGTAGACCAGACTGGCTTCAAACTTTGGAGATCTGCCTACCTCTGCCTCATGACTGCTGGGGTTAAAGGCATGCACCACCACCACCTGGACTGATTAATCTTTTTTTTCCAAGACAGAGTTTCTCTGTAGCTTTGGAGGCTGTCCTGGAACTCACTTTGTAGACCAGGCTGGCCTCGAACTCACAGAGATCCGCCTGCCTCTGCCTCCCGAGTGCTGGGATTAAAGGCGTGCGCCACCAACGCCCGGCCTGGACTGATTAATCTTATCTATACACCTATATCATTTATTATAGGCTAATGTGTCTCTAATCATGACCATCATACAACTAGCCCTTTCTTCTCTCCATGGACTGAACTCCTGGGCTGCTGCTATATGACTGTGCACCCCAATACCTTGCTGTAGAGGAACCTCTGTAGCTCCAGCTCAGCGATTCCCAACTGTCCGTCTTCCTCTGTCAGTCGCCAACGTGCCTGAGCAAAGTAAAACTCAGTGCGACGGACCACACTCACATCTTCCTGTTGCTTTCGCAGCTCCATTTTGTTGGCCCGCTGCAGTTGGAAATCCTTAAAACATCTGTGCATGAACAGGAAAGAACACAGGAGTCCCTCATAATGCTGTAGGTGCTAAACCCAGAGACCAACCTGGTTTTTTCCCCACTGACGCATTGTTTCTGACACTCTGAGCTATGGAAAAGAAAAGTTATCTTTTAGCTCTATAGTTTCTTCCCAGTAAATCCTATGATTACACTTTCAATATATTTTTTTGTTGTTGCTGTCTGTGTAGCCATGACTGCAATTTGCTCTGTAGACCAGGCTGTCCTCGAACTCAGAGACCTGCCTGCCTCCCGAGTGGTGGCATTAAAGGTGTGTGCTATTACTATCTGG